ATAAAAGTTAACTAAGTAAAGGAAATGAAATGAAAGGTATAAACAAGATATTAATGAAAATAAAACTTAAGCATTACAAAAATACAAAGAGAGAAAACAATAGTATGATCTTGATATGAAGACCAAAATGCCTAAATACATGCCAAATGTCTTTTTTTATAGGCTAAAATTGGAAATTATTGATTTCATTACTAATTGATGAGTGGGTAGCCAACTCTTGACCTAGTGAAGTCCTTATCTTCTATTTTCTGCCCAAAACGTCACTGATAACATTAGAATTAGAACCACTTGAAAACATGAAAGTTGTAGAAAATTGTCTCAGCTTTCCAGGAAAAAAAATGAAGGTCATTTGGATTTCTAGAACTCCACATATGGGCCAAAAACTAAATAGTATTAGGGCTGCAGGATAGATTCCGACTTCTTTGTTGTTGCTATAATTTGGACTTGAAAATGGCCTTTTTAAATCTTGGCCTACATGAAATTTGTAGGCCTATGTCTTACCTTTCCATCCATATAAAGTAGACCTAAAACTGAGATCTACAGCTCTAGATATGACCCAATTACCGAATAGTATTCTAGTTTGGATTGCACCAGCATCTCTTTTATAAGTTTGGTCATCTCTTTGTACTTTCAATTTTAGTTCTTAAACTCATCACTCAATGCTTTTCTTTATGTTATAGGCTTGCATTTAAAATGAACATTTACAATAAATTAAAAACATCTTATATTATTAGATATCTTAGTATAAAACATGTTTTAATTAAGGAGTTATTGATACTTCAAGTGCAAAATGATAATATAAAACCTTGATAAAAATATATTTTTAAATACTAATCACCTATCCTTGGCTTTAATGTGAGGTTGATTCGAGGATTGCACTAATTTTAGTATCAGAGCTTCTGTGTGGTTACCCAGTTCCATTCATTGCAGTATTCCACGCCCATGCATATAACCCACAGTGGTACTTTATACACCTTGGCAAACAACCCAAACTCGTCCAACCAAAACCCAAACAACTTGGACCCAACCAACTAGAACCTAAACAACTCAAATTCAACCAACTAATCAAAACCTAAACAACCCAAAGCCAACCAACCAAAACATAAACACCCAAGGCACAAACCAACCTCAGTTATGATAACAAATTGATCAAATCTGCACAGTAATGGAACAGCTTATTCATCGACTGAATGTAATGAAGGCGCATTATGCTCAAGAGGAGTATGGGCCCTTCAATCAGCGAATCCATATAACAGTTCGTAGAGAGAGGTTGGTGACAGCGATGAAAATGCTTATGAAGGAGAAGAAGGAAACCAGGAGTTTGAAAATCAGGAGCCTTGAGTCTAACATCATAGGCAAAACACGCATCGAGGGCATGCAGATCATGGTGCAGGCTATCAACCTCTTGATGAACAAACCAAAAGAATGAAGGTTGATGTGCTAGATTTTCTTAGAAAATTAGAACCCAATGCTTTTGAAGACTAGTTAACGGCTATTGAGGATTATTTTGACTAGTTTTCCATTTCAGAAGATAGGAAGGTTCGTTATGTTCAGATGAAATTGAAGGGGAATGCACGAGTATGGTAGGGAAGCATGGAAGAACAATTGCACTAAACACGCAGACCAACAGTTTCTGATTGGGTAGAGACAAAAGAACAACTAAAAGAAAAATATTTTCCAATTGACTATGTGTAAATGATGTTCGAGGAGATGTTGCAACTCAAGCAAAGGTCAATGAGCTTTGATCAATTTACTAATCGCTTCCACAAATTGGCTGTTCGTAGTAAGGTTGTGGAGACTGAGCAATAGACCTTAGCTCGATATCACACGGGACTAGGCAATGAGCTGTGTAAATAAATATAGACTACACATTTAATCAATGTGGAGGATGTATATCAATTGGCACTCTAACACGACCAAAAAATTGATGTCTTCTCTCAAGTGTAGGAGTGTCAAAGTAATAATTAACTCTGCAAGATCGGAGTCAAACCACAGGGAGGTTAATTGTATAAATTATAAACAACAACAACAACAACAACAACAA